TCTCCTATGTGCCAACATAGTCATGTATGACCTTGTTTGGCTCGACATGAAATTATTCAAATATATACCTAATATTAATGTGCCCAGTTCCTGTTGGATGCTATGAACTGTATGTGAAATTGTGAAATGCGGGAATGGACGTTTTATGGCATGCTCTGCATTCCTAGAGCCCTAGTAGCCTAAAAGGTCATATGTGATGGCTGATTGAGTTATTGTTTTATGATAGGGCAGAGGAAAGTGGTTTTCATAGTCCCTGAAAACCAGACATCCTGCACAAGACTAATTAGTGGTTTACAGCTTCGGAGCTCGCCTCTATTTGTGTTTTATTTAAGATAAGAGGCTCTTTTGAAGTTGTCACAACTTACAGCTACAAATTCCATTTTCTAGAGAAGGGAGGAGAGAGAGAGATGATTGTAAATGAAAAACAACATAGCTGAGACCTGAACAAGAAGGCTGTCGTGCACAGCATCCTCTATAGCGCATAATCGTCACAAAAGGAAGTTAGAGTTAGCTAAAACCTTGTTGAAAGATAGGGAATAAATAATAGATACGTATAAATCCTCCCCTCTATATCAAAAGTGTCTGGATGTTTTAAATAACAAAAATCAGAAAATTGGAGGACAACTTGGTTACAGAGAAGACCAAGAAATTAGAGAGGGATGTGGAGGACTAACAAAAAGGGAGAGTTTTTGATTGGAGACGCCCAGATGTAGTTAACATTGCCAAAGAGCATCATAATAGACATACCCCTAGTAATCACAGGGTCAACATTAAGAATGCTAAAAGAATCCCTATACCCAAAGGTAAACAGTTCAGTAATACCAACCAAAATAGCAGGACAATCACTGCTGGTAATGGCAGTGCTGGTAATGGCAGTGTGGTTAATTCAGGCACTAATCGCCCATCTTCATCCAATAACTACAAAGATTTAGATATTAGTCGGAATACGTTTTTAGTCCCCCAGCTGTGTGATTCTAACAAGAAACCTCCATAACAACCCAATTCCACTGAGCTTTCTCCATCCAAACATGATCCCTCTGGTACTGTTGAATCTCAGGTTGTAATAGTAGGAAAACACAAAAAATGGGAATTTAAATACCCCTCCAATGGTCAAATATGCACATGAAACACTTTTAAAAAGTTTTTACATCACTTTATTCCAATAATTTAAAAACATAGTTTTCATTAAAAACATTTGTAAAGTAGGACGTTGATTCAACTGCTTGTCTCCCACATACAATAATGGAGGGACTGTAGCACTAAAGTCCTTTAGAGATCTTAGATATCAGATATATAGATATAGTAATCACTAGAATAATATTGAGAAAATATACAAAAAATAACAAACCATTCCAAAAAATTAGAAACTCAATGACCCTCACTGATTAGCTTATCTAATCCCAGAAGAAGGAAGAAAAAAAATTTAATCTGGACCGTGCAAGGTACATACAGGCAGATATATAGTTTAATAATAAATATAAATTTATAGATTTTTTTTCTCTGCGAAATGCGTCGATCTACAGTTTAAGATCTCTGAAGGATATTGTTATAGTCCGTCCATCATTGCATGAGGGAAACGAGAAAATAATCAATGTCCTACTTTACAAATTTAGTGAAAACTATATTTTAAAATTATTGGAATAAAGTGATGTGAAAACTTATTAAAAGTGTGTCATGTGCATATTTGACCATTGGAAGGAGTCCCATTGTTTTGTGTTTTTTCCTAATATTACATTTTTTATAGGGATGACACCCTCTAATGGTATAACCCATTAATAGCACCAACTCCCTATATACATACTGAATCTCAGGTTGGTATCACCTCCCCTATTGTTGGTGATGGTCATGCACCTCTAGTCTCCACATGTTGACCCCCTCCAGACACCCAGAAAAAACAAAACTAGAAGAGGTATAAGGGGAGGTTGGAGAGAAAGGGGCAAACAAGAAGGAGCGGAAGGTGGAACCCCAATGAGTAAGGATAGTACTATATAAAAATGTAATCTCTCTACATACATATTAGGGGAATCAGAGAGCTTCTTGTTGAGCAAAGGATTTTGACACACAGTGGTTCCTTTTAGTCCACTGGGGGAAGCTAGTGTTGATGATGATGACCCCATGTTGCCCTTATTGCAAGAACTCTGGGAAAAGGTTCGGGGTTGGAGTCAAGCAGTAGAGATCTTCAATTTCCCTGATATTGTTAACACAAACTTTAAACCCAAATCTGTGTTTTACCCCTCACAATCGAAAGGGTCCTTTATTGAGACATTCTATCAAGCCACTTACAATGACTTTATCAAACTGTGTGATAGACAATATTCACATAGAAATTCAAACTTGAGTAAGGATGAATCCCAGGCTCTCTGAGCCCTAATGGCCAATAATCTCATCATCATCAGTCAGGCTGATAAAGGAAGTAGCCTTGTGGCTCAGGACCATATTCAATACCTTAAGAAGTCTCTCTGATTGTTGGAGGATATACATACATATAAAACAACTGTCTGAGGATCCTTTACCTGGTTTTATTAACCTCCCTAGCGGTCTGATTATGTTCATATTTCTGTGCTGAAAGCGGTACATTTTTTTTGCATGGAAATATGTTGTTTTTTTTATTGTAGGCCTGTAATTTTTAGGAATAACTCACTAAAATCTGTCCGAACAAGAGTCTAGTAAACATCTCGGGTAGGATAAAATTTGAAACACGAAATCATAAATTATAATATAATAAATAATCATAAAAAATAATACTATAATAATAATAAATTTAATTCAATAATATAATCAAACCAAAAACACTGAAATTTTAAATATAGTGCCAAGTTCGCACATCACTGAGCAAAGTCGCAGTGAACTGTGTCTGATGACAAATTTCCCCCACGAATCATTATTACTTAATTCTGCAAGTGGTTCTAATTTACTATCGCTGTTCTCTAGCTGGTCTAAAACCGCTTTTGACCTAAAGGGACGCTTTTTGGATGCCATGGACTTTTCTAAGTTTCCAGGCAGAAAGAACAGTAAAAATGCAGGCAGGGCACAGGACAAAGCACTTGGGACAAAATGTATGTGAAATGGTTTGAAACAGTAATGTTTTACTGTGTTATTTTAGTTTATTAGTAAGTTAAATTTTTTTTAATTTTTAAATTTGCCGCCGGTTCCATCCCCCATATGTCCCATACATCCCGACGCTCGCAGGGACCGGAACACGGAAGCTGGATGCCGGTATTGGTCAGAGGAGATGGCCGGGGATGCTGCAGGGGACGCATCGTGGGAGTGAAGGACAAGGTAAGCGCTGCAGGGAATCCTTGAGCAACGCCACATGGTAAGCCCTACTGTAGCTTTTGGTACTGAAACTTTACCCCGAGCTACACTCGGGAATACCTCCAGGTAGGTTAAGGAATTAAGAACACTAGTTGAGGATGCACACAATGAGGGTGTGATCAACAAGAAATAGAAAGTTTTTTTTACTGCTTAAAGAATGTAGTACTCCTTATTTCTACCACCTACCTAGGGTGGATAAATCAGTGGGTGACCCCCAAGGTAGGCCAATAATAGCTAGTACCAACAACTTTTACAAGTGGCCTTTCCATATATATTGATTTTTTTCTTCCACCCAATGCCTCTGCTTTACTATCATTTATCAGAGACACCAATCATCTGTTGAGTGTCTTGGAAAACTACACCTGGGAACCCAATTTTATATGGGTATCCCTTGATGTAAGTGCCTTGTGCACTTCAATACCACATGTGGAGGGTCTAAGGGCATTACTCTATTTTCAAAAGAAAGAGGATGCATTACATTACAAACAAGCTCAATTTATATTGGAATGTACAAGATTCACCCTGGAGCACAATTATTTCTGCTTTATGGATTCATTTTACCTGCAAACCCATGGGACAGCCATGGGTGCTAATTATGTCCCATGCTACACGAACATTGTGATGGGTTATTGGGAAGACATGGCCATTTGGAACCCTAATCCGTTTTCTAAATTCATAAATTTTTACATTTTTTGCCTAAAGGTGCTCCTTGGATTTTGGGCCCCTCTTTGGCTAGGCTGGGAAAAAGTCTCATGCACGTGGTATCGCCAAGAATATGTAATGGTGTGTATTTCTAAGTATGCTTATGATGCGTATTATAATATCTTATTATTGACAACTAATATCTTATTAAATGACAAAAATAAATTTTCATTTTATTTCCTGCATTTTCCAAAATGTTATGGCAAAAATGAAATTATTAAAAGACTCACTATGCCTTTCAGAAAATACCTGTGTTTGTTTTCAAAAATGAGGTCATTTTGTGGGTGTTTCCATTATCCTGGTGCTCCAGGACCTCCAAAACGTAATAGATAAGAAATTAAGAAGGTGCTCCTTGGATTGTGAGTCCTTCTATACATCTAGGTTGTGAAAAAGTGTCACACATGTGGTATCCCCATACTCAGGAGGAACAGAAGTATGCCCATGCTGTGTGTAAGAAATAACTTGTTAAAATTACAACTTTGTAAAAAAAAAAAGTTATTCTTAACTTTCCAAAAAATTGTCACAAAACATTACAACTTCAAAAAATTCACCATGCCTCTTACTAAATACCCTGGACTGTCTACTTTCCAAAAAGGTTTTTGGGGTTTGGTGGGGAATTCGTGCTGTCCTGGCATTTAACCACTTGCCTATCCGGTCACTTATACCCCTTTCTTTACCAGGCCAATTTTCAGCATTCAGCATATGACATTTTTATTATTTTTTTTCACAAATAGAGCTTTCTTTTGGTGGTATTTACTCATCACTGGGTGTTTTACTTTTTGCACTATAAACAAAAAAAGTGCAAAAAAATTGAAAACAAAAAAAAGGTTTCTTTGTTTCTATTATAACATTTTGCAAACAGGTAATTTTTCTCTTTCACTGATGTGCATTGATGAGGCAGCACTGATGGGCACTGATAGGCAGCACTGATAGGCAGCACTGATAGGCAGCACTTATGGGCACTGATAGGCAGCACTGAAGGGCACTGATAGGCGGCACTGATAGGCAGCACTAATGTGGTGGCACGGATAGGTGGCACTGATAGGCGGCACTGATGAAGGGTACTGATAGACAGCACTGATAGGTGGCGCTGACTGGCATCACTGCTGGCACTGCTAGGTATTGACTGGTGGCACTGTTAGGCATTGACTTGCGCAACTGCTGGGCACTGACTGGCACAACCGCTGGGCACTGACTGGTGGCACTGACTGGCAGCACTGCTGGGCTGCACTGATGGGCACTGGTGGGTGGCACTGGTGGGCACAGGTGGGTGGCACTGGTGGGCACAGGTGGGTGGCACTGGTGGACTCAGGTGGGTGGGCACAGGTGGGTGGCACTGCTGGGAACAGGTAGGTGGCACTTCTGGATAGCACTGCTGGGCACAGATGTGTGGCACTGCTGGGTGGCACTGGTGGGCACAGGTGGGTGCACTGCTGGGCACAGGTGGGTGCACTGCTGGGCACAAGTGGGCAGAACTGGTGGGTGGCACTGCTGGGCCCCGATCAGTGCCCTGATGATCGGTGCCGATCCCTGCTCTAGCAACTGCCGTTTCTTGGCAGTACTTTCCTCATGATCTGACAGCGTGAGGAAAGTGCAGCCGAGAACCGGCAATTGCATTTCCCTGTGATCAGCGTGTCATTGGACATGGCTGATCACGTGGTAAAAGGTAATGTGATTGCCCTTTTACCACATCACATGATCAGCTGTGTCCGTAGGACACAACGATCACAGAGATCGCTGGGTGCTCGCCCCCGGGGGTGCGCAAGAGAGCGTGTTCTGGGAAGACGTCATATGACGCCCTCCCAGAACTGGCCGGCCGCAGTATAGCCGTCATTCGGCTATCTGCAGTCGGCAACTGGTTAAAGGCCTCAAGAAGCAGTCAGTACATCAGGACTGATTCATTTTCAAATATGTATATACCATAGCTTGTAGATGCTATAACTTTTATTCAGACTAAATAAAATACACTGATTTGGGTTATTTTAATACAAAATGCAGCAGCATATATTTTGGCCTAAATTTATGAAGAAGAGGATTTATTTGCAATCATTTAAAACTAAAACTAAGAAAAATGTGGGCTTTTTTCAAAATTTTCTGTGATAACATTTTCAGTTTTTATATTTGTTATCATATATGATTGATTGTTCATTGATTAACTCTACACATACATACTATATGTACATATTTTAATAATTGGAAGACATTGTACTGATTATGTTGTCCAAATCTCAAATACAGTTAATCAAGGACAGCATGCCTATGGGAAATATGCTAACAAAGCAAATGAGAAAAAGGCACTAGTTCACACAGCAAGTAATAATATTTCTCACCACTCTGCATAGAAAGGGTCTAGTTGTCCTCTTTTTAACTGCAACGGTGTGGCTCTGCCTTTATTTTCCTGTATTTCCCTGTAGCAAACAACATGTCAGCTGGTGGGACTTCATGATCTTCCCCTGCTGCACACACTGGCCTTTACTGTTTCTTTTATTAATGCTTTATACAATATCCCTATCAAAAACTGCCATTCACAGACTATACTAACACATATTATCTGTTGCTGAAACGTGAGCTAGAAGGATGATTTTACTATTCATGCATTATATACACTGACAAGGACAAGGATGAATTTTAAGTCAGTAATATATTAACCCTTACTATTTTGAAAGCAAGACTGTAGGTCTTTATATCAGATGTACAGTTTTGTGACTCCCTAGGTATTCTGTCCTACTAACGGTTAGCCAACTGCTATATAACATTACTGACAAAAGCAGCATTATGTTTCATCCCAAAACTGAATTTACTTCTGTGAATAGTTCTGCCACATACCTAGTTAGTGAGCCTGACGTACAGAGCAAGGCCTCTCATACAGCTTTGGATCAGGGGCCACTGATAATGAAACAGTAACCACAGGAGCACGAGGAGGTAAGAGTGCCTGATCAGTCCAGTGGTCTGCATGGGAGTAGCCGACACCTTGTTGGAAGGACAACAGGAACAGAGCAGCTGGCTGTAGGCATATGTCACAGCAGGGCAGGCTAGCAGCAGGCAGCAAGCAAGCAGATGGCACAACAGGGCAGGCTGGTAGCAGATAGGCTGGCAGCAGGCAGATGGCACAACAGGGCAGGCTGGAAGAGCACGATGCAGCATCAGACAAGTCGGCTCAGTAGCAGACAGGCAGATCAAGCATAAACGGTAGGCAGAAGAGAAGTCGAAGTCAGTGGCATTCATATGTGGTCAGGACAAGCCGTGTCAATTGCAGGAATTAAGCACAGGGATACAGGGGGTGCTGCAGATCAGACAGCAATCTACTAGTGCAACTGCTGCACTTATATAGGCCATTTGGTGCGAACATTAGCAGCGAATGTGCACACACCTTTGCATGTGTGTGGGCCTGTGTACCGCAGCTCGAGCACCCGCAGGGCTGCACCTGCGCATCTGTGTGTGCCTCAGAGTTTCGATTGCACTATGGCTAGTTGATCCCTGAGAAGTTCTGTAAAACTGTAATATAATTACATAAAGTAAAGTTACAATATGTTTGTAAACATGTCTCTCACAAATGCCTACAATGAACACATTTCTTGCAAACAGCTACCTACAAATCACAATAAACATATGTAAATGAAATCTAGATATATGCGTGTGACTTTAACAAACACAACAAATTAACTTACAGGCTTGTGTATCAAAGGGAGAAAGGAAGCCTTTACTTCAGTGGTGGATGGGAAATATTTATTTTTAACAAACATCAAAAAGGGTGTATTTGCACTGAATGCTCGATGGATAGCTACATTCTCAACACAGTGATGTGTATACAAAACACTAGGGCTATTTTTTTATTAAAAAGTGTGATTGGAACTTCATTGACTTGGACAATGTAACAGAGATTTATGCAATTGTGTTAAAGTAATATTAAAGCTTCATTTTTTTCCTATTAATATAACAAACATGTTATATTTTTACCTGCACTGGCAATTGTATTACACAGAGCAACTTTGAACTTCCTCTTCTGGGTTCCCCTGCTGGCATTCCTGGTTCTTCCTCTTCAGTGAGTGTCCACCATTGAAAGTTGGTTTCTATGGGGAACTCATGTGGGCTTGCTCCCGAGCCTCCCTGTCTGTGTCGCAAACAGGGCAGCTCGCCCCACTCCCTACTCCCCCATCACAGAATTTGATTGACAGCAGTTGGAGCCAATGACTTCCATTGCTATCAATCTGCCCAGTACGAAGGGAGAGAGTGGAAAGAGCCGCTGCTCTTGTGCACATTGCTGGTTTGAGATCAGGTTCAGGCAACAATAAGAGGGGGGGGAGGGGGGCTAGGGGTTTTTATCTTAATGCATAGAATGCCTTTGGATAAAATAAGTTCAGCCATTACAACCATTTTAATTTCTATTTTATGTATATAAAGCCAATTGCCAAGCAGCAGGAGAAGAAAACCCTCTGTAACTGGAACTATAGCAGTCAGAACATGTACCCAACTTGCTAAATGGACAATGAAGAGAAATATTGAATGCATATTGAAAAGGTTGTTGCTCTTTCCAGTCTTCATCCTTACTGCACATGAGCATGCAGCAAAGCATGATTGGCTCATAGTAATGGTTCTTCCTATCACAATAGTTAAGGTACTTACACCAGCTGAATTTTAAAATATATTTAATGATGTTTTAATGAATACGTACCTGCAATAATTGTTTTTATATCTGTCCTGAGTTCAGATTTAATCAGTCTTGTCTTGCACTGATGATTATTAACATTAGCTATGTCTACGTAAATTAAGAATACGTTGCCATTGTTAGCACACTTCTACACAGTGGGACTCTGATTGTAGAAGAATTCATTTGAATTATTTATCATTTGCTTATTGGATGTAAGAAACACGAAAAGCGTTGTGAATGTTAATATTTTTAAGCAATAATCCTTTGGTGGTAGGTGTGAACACAGTCATTTGAATATATGTGTATCTAGGGGAAAAAGACAGAAAGATAGAGATAGATAGAGAGATAGATAGATAGAGATAGATAGATAGATAGATAGATATTTTTTAAAAATATCCTTTTGTTTCCCGTGACCAGCCTAAAATACTGTATATTATTCCAGGTTTTGTGTGTTTTAGCTCCAAGCATCATTGCATTGTTGTGCTTTTACCATTGTCAAGTATTCTGCAGTGAATAAAAACAACATGTTTTGTACATTTAAATTACATTTTGAAGCCTTTTAGAAAGAGCAGCCTATCATTAGAATTGAAGCTTTAATAATATTTGCAGAATTTGCAGTTTCATATTACTTGGCATGTTATTATTATCTTGTGTGGACCCAGTGATAGAGAAAATGGTCTATATAAAATATATATATATATATATAGCTCTGGCTAAAATAGCATGCTCCATAGTTAAATCCATAAAGGCACCCTTAATGGAATATTGTATCTCATTTTGTTTTTACTTGTTGTTTAATGTACAGAAAGTTTACATTATCTCTATGAATTGTCAATATCTGATGGCTGACACGTTTCTCAATAATAAATGAAGGGTTTGCAGCGAAAAGGAGGCAGCTTCATTCTTTTTAAATTTTTCGGTTTTATATATATATATATATATATATATATATATATCTTGTTCAGAAAAATCTACTCTTTCAATTGGTGCAAAAAAGAAGAAGCTTTGAGCATTCCCATGATCCTCAACCGATGAAGCTGCCTGTCTAGAAACTAGGAAGGAAGAACAAGACAGCTCCAAAATGTAAAACTTTATTTTAAAGAAAAGATATTTTTGTATGCTAACAGTGCTGAATCATTTGTTAATGCAATGACAATAAGAGGAAAAAACACTTCAAACTTAGGTTGAAAAATATTTTAAACAGTGTTTTTTAGTTTGTCAAACATTAGTAAAACAAAAAATACTTCTTTATTGCTGTGCGCCTTTTAATTGTAAGACACTACATAGACTCTGCACATGTTGGAGCCTCAGCAGCCTGTTCCCAACCCGATCTATAGTTTGGTAAAAGCATCAGGTAGTTGATTGGTCAGCTCTGTTCACTGTGTTTCCCTGTTGAGATGTTTCTATGTCTCCCCCAAATCCTACTGTCAACCTATTTATTCTCTGGTTTCTTGCTCCCCTGCAGTCACATCTTGCTTTTTTTCTGCAGATTTATTGCCATGGTATAATTATACATGCCCTATTTATCTATTCAGGTGCACTTGCACTTGCACAGGTGTGACCAGGGCCATGCCTCCTGATTGAGTCATACTCCTTTAAAAGGTCCCAGAGTCTATTACAGTGTACAGATTAGTGTTGCTAAGGTGTGCTCCTGTGATATTCTGTTCTTCTTTGTTGGTATTGCTCACAGTATCCTGTGTTCACATTGTTCAAAGTTAATCTGTTTGCTAGCTTATTTGTTCTCAGTCTGCTTAGACTGCCTTTTATCTTCCTTTGTTATTATTCAACCT